TTATGCCTACTTTCGATAATTATGACATGAATGAACTAATCATTCGCGAATTATTGACTGATGCGCAACATAAAGCAAGCTGTTCGTCATACATTTGTCCAATGAATTTGGGAAATATTTTGATATATTTGATATATATTTTGATATTAGATAAATGTTTTTAAAAATTAAATCAGTCAGCTTTTATTTGACTGATATAATTTTACTGATTTGTATTTCATTGAGTTTTTACTTAAATCCACATTTACATTACTGGGTAATCGTGACGCACTAAACTATTTTCTCTCTGATCAAATTGAGTTTCACCTATATAATGCTTGAAGCATTGACAATAACTTAGCTCTTGTCTACTTTGATCTACTTAATTTCCAGGCTGCTTGATTGTCAATAAAGTCTTAGGTTAATTGGAATGGATAGTAGATGTTGAAGGGAACAGAATACCATATTGCACTGCCGTGGTATGGACGAAAGTGGGTAGGTAAAAGCTGGCTATGCCAAAAGCTAACACAAATGTATCATCACACATGATAAGCGATTTATTTATGTAATCAGTAGCCTCATTCTGATGCACAGATACCTCGTTGCTAGAACCCACTTTATACCGAATCTCAAGTTGTCCAAAGTTTTACATATTTCTACATATGTGTGTGCATATATTTTTGATTTATCAAAGAAAGTATTTTCAATAACGTTGAATATAAATTTATCTTGGTGAGTATCAGCAGAAGTGAAAATCCATGCACTTATGTGAGGATAACTCACCCGATCCATCACAAGGACCAAAGTCAGAACTATCTCTACTTGACTACTGGTCATCCCATTTGTTATTTATAGACGATGTCATACATGGTTGAATTGTTTTTATTCTATACAATTATTTCTCAAAAAACGCCGGATGGTAATGAATCTATCAGGATTTTCACGATACGTTTAGCAGTGTGCTGATACTGTTGAGAGGATCACCCCCTGGTGGACTTCATGAGCCACTCATCGAATGTGAAAACACCAAGTAGTCAAAGCAGAGCACCTAAATGTCCCTTCCGGTCTCCTTTCGCCAAATCTATGATCCGTGTAACTATGTCACTTTTGCATGAAATCGAATTGGGGGGATGATTCCATGTTTTACTGTTCATCTGTTGATTTGTTCGTGCATGTGTTAAACTCGTTCGTGGTACGAATTGACAGCTTTGCTCTTAACATTGCTCGCTCATGAAAACAAAGTGGTGGTTTAAGAAGATACTATAGTGTAATGATAAGGAAAAATGAACAGAATTCTCTCCTCAGTTGGTCAACATGTTTAGAATGTGTGCCTTTGCTCATTCAAGAGTAAACATTATTAGATGGTCGTAAGGCTTGCTTACACATAACACATTTTTCGATAAAACAATTTTATCCGTATAGCAGACAATGACATTCTACAAATGTCATATGCGGTTGATTATTTTGCATCTATTCATTTCACTTTTACACTGACTCCACAATTGAGTTAGTCAAATTTTCCTAATATAATGACATAGTTGAAGACCTAGCTTAGTTCATAACAAATTTCGTAAACGAGGAAATGAATAGGAACTCTTTAGAATGTTTTTCCATTTGCTTTGGGTTTAGAGTAAACGACCTGGTACCTTGTACTGAATCCCCATGAATGCAGTCCAGTGCTTTCGCTAATCGAGTATTAACCGGATGACCAATGCAACAGTTTGAAGAATAATTCGGATACAATTAAACTCCAAGGGTTATTATCGGGTTAAACTAAGGATTCAATTGAAGGACTATTCAGCAGTATTATATTTTACATAATTTTGAAATTTATCACTGTCACATTGTCGTTGATAACAGCCATGATTTTATCTGGATGAGGTATTACTGTCGATGTGAAGAAGTATTCAGTGATGATCCCTCTCGTTCAATAAGTTTCGCATATGTAAAATGTCACCTACACAACACTCCTATGATTTGACAGACGTACCGGGATTCATTTCTCCTCTATCTGTCTGTCTGTCTGTTCATCATTCGGGCTCCGTTCGGCTACCTTTCGGCCAATGATAATCACGTTTAGGGAATTGCAAATGAAGGTCCATTTTCGTGCCGTTTTAGCTTTGATAAGTCATTAAATGAAGAAGAGACACAGAGTAAATGAATTTCCTAATCTTATTTGATTCCATAGAATAGTGAAAGAGGTATGCTGTGACAATATCACATCGCTGAAACTGAACTAGAACTCATCAACGATTTCCGGATAATAAGATATTCATTAGGTGAGCAAGCAATGTACAAATGAAACATCTGAGAAGTGTCCGTGAAAATCGATAGAGGTATTTGAATCGGAGTTAAGAGCAAAATGATATACACAAATATGTTGCTTGAGGAAAGCTTACCTATATCAGTGGCGATTTACCGTCAAAATATCTAACTTAGTGAATTCATCTCAGTACAATATTAAAAAACCTTACTTCAGAAATAATGGCCAAAAAAGATGCATCCTTGTGTGAGCATTGTTATTCGAAAGCAGCCGAAATATATTTCGAACGAGCTCACTTTGGACGAAAAACAATTTAAACGTGGAAATAAATACTCTTCCGAAATAAAGGTTTCCAGCCCAATATAAAACTGTTGCAGATTGATCCAATGACACAGCGCTGAGCATTTCAGATTGATAATGAAACATTTCGTGATTTTCCTTTTCCAACTGAAAGAGAACATTCAAAATAGAATTGGTTCGCATTGATTAAAACCAATCTAATGGTAAGGACAAAAGCGGTTTGGTCCCAGTTTGATGAAAGCTTGGGGCGGGTTATCTTATGACCTGATTTGTTCGACTATTGCGTGCACCGGGACAAATCAGATTCACAGATCATTGTTGGCTTTACGACATACAAAATTCCTCGTACCAGCACACAATCAAACTCTTTTTTCTGAGCTTGGTTGAAAGCACTGAAACTTTTCGAGAAATGTCTTTGATATAGCAAACAAAAGACCAAATAAAACTTGTATTTTGTAACATGTGATAATACCTCATTGGTCAAATTTGATGAATTCAGAGATAACTTAAATCCTTTGGACAATATCTGTGGTACTGCGGAGCAAAGAAACTAAGCAACCGGGGATTACCAATCAGTGATAAGAATAACAGATTCATTCAANGCCATGTTTATAACAAACATTGTAAACTTTGCTTTAGTGAGGTTTAGATATTGGCATGTCTATTCCAAAGTAATTAAATACACTTTACACTGATTGGGTATCGGTTTCGTGTTTGTTTCCTTGTAGAGTCGCATTGTCTAATTCAGCGTAACTGGGTTTCCATTTTTCTTTGACCAAGACTAAACACTGATAACAATCACATTAAGTGTTAAACATGACTATGCAACATTTTTAGTCAAGATCATAGATCAGCTGTTTTTGCCTCAGGCCTCGCCATTATCGAGTACACTGATATTAGCCCAGTCGTGACCAGAAAAGGCAGTGATTGAAATAGTCTTTAAAGGACTGGAAATGAGTTCATTTCCTGATTCACACATTCAGCGTACGTTAATCCACCTATCTGAGCAGAAAAACAGTTTTTTGAAATTAACACTGATTATTTTTTTTGTCCTCGTTCCTCAGTATGTTTTGTATCTTTCGTTAAATTTGAGCAACATATTTGAAGGGTAGAACACAAAATTGTGTACATTCCAATGCTTGAATGTAGCCATGAGAACTAGGAGTCTACTAGAGATAACTGGAAATGACATTATTTTTACTCGTATGTTAGTGGAATAATTCAGCTCATCTTTCTATACGACTTTACAATAAGAGTTTCTAAAATGCTATTTGAAAAGATACAGATGAAACAAGTGTTTGACAAAATATTGAAAATGGGTTCTCGTAGCTCAGGTTTGCTTCTTTCATCAGAAAACATTGTTCAATTAAAACGTAATTGATCTGGAAAAGTTATGGCGATCGTAAGTTGAGATGGAACGTTCATTCCCTCACTCAAAAAATATTGGGAATTGGTTTCCTTGGATTTATATCTGAATTCTGGATAAAGATATTATAAGGAGCGGCATTACACAACAGCAGTAATTGTGATTCAATAGAGCATTTTGAATATCTAATACTTTTATCCAAACTAAACACTAACTAAAAACTGAATACAAGGAATGGTTATCCCGGTAACCATATATACTTTTCGATTTAGAAGTTGCAAAAGGATTTTGGCTAAATAATCGGTCTTCAATTAAAAATACCAGCATTTAAGTGAGATCACCGGTATCTCACTTAAAAATCATCAGTAGTGGAAATATAAGTCTTCCTGCCTCCCAAAATGCAGCAGCCCCATCGACAGAAAATATTCTTCGGGAGTAACTATTGGCCATCTTTCTCACACCCTAGGAACTAAATGAACTGCATCGTAACTGATACATTACTTAGTCCTTGATAGTCCACCCGTCTGTAATGGTATTTTGTAATACAATGTATACAATAAACAAATGTAAATAGTTAGATATGACACAACCTTCCATCCTTACTTAAGCATAAACGCTTTTTCCTGAATCACTAGTTTACATAATATTTCCTATATGAATGCTGTTCGGAGTGGCAACTATTTTGCCTCGTGAGGAATTCATGGTGAAAAATTTGTTTAAAATCCACATTTATTTCCCACATTTTACCCATCGAGTTGTGTCCCGTTCGGAGATCTTCCAATAATGCATTCATCGATCTGTAGTCCCCAATCCTTTTATTGGTCTAGTCAGGTATTTTTGACATTCGTTTTCGAAAGAAAAACATTATCTTCAAATTGTATCATCTCATGCATCAGATGGAACTTCACTGACCTTCTGCCTATTTATTGCAGTATGCTATCACGTACAAACTATGTTGTTATCTTGTGTTTTTGCGCATTGTACTGCCCTTTTCTATTTAATGTATAAATTCAAATTGAACGGAATACCATAGAAAACTATCTTCATTTAACTCTGTCTTTCGCAGCTCAACTGGAAAACGTTCAGCGTAATATGGTGGAGAACGTTTCATTGACTGTTCCAAGTGCCAGTGGTAACGAACAACCGGGTATTGTTCCACCTCAAAGGATTGTGGTTAATGTGTTTAAAGGGATCTGTTTTTTTGGAATCATCTTGACAGCTCTATTTGGGAACTGTTTGGTACTGATTGCAGTGACCAAATTCAAACGGATACGATCTGTCCGAACCAACATATTTCTCGTGTCCCTGGCTCTGGCCGATTTTCTCGTCGCCCTATTGGTCATGCCATTTAGCGCGATTATGGGTTTGATGGAAGGGCGGTGGATTTTTGGATCTGTGCTCTGTGATCTGTTCAACGCAAATGATGTTCTTTTCTCTACTGCCAGTATTTTACATCTGTGCTGTATATCCACCGAACGTTATATTGCAGTGCTTAGTCCGTTGACTTACGAAAGAAAGATGACATGTACACGAATTGCTGTCATGCTAACTGTGACTTGGTTACTCTCGATCCTTATATCATACTTGCCGATTTTCACTGGACTGTACACCACTAGTGAGCACAAAGACTATTCCGGAAGTCGAGAAGAATGGTGTGAATTTGTCGTCAATCCGTACTATGCCCTCATATCATCGGCCACGTCGTTTTGGATTCCCAGTTTCGTCATGATTGCTGTCTACGTACGAATATTTATTGAAGCTAGGAACCAAGAGAAAAAAATCTATAGACTGCATGTTCCGGCAAAACGGAGAAAATCAGTTCCACCACAAACCAGCGAACCGGAGGAGGCCAACCTGGAAACGGAGCTGGTTTCATCAGATAATAATACTGACAGTCGTCCAGGGCATCAAATGAATTATTTAACTGTGCAGTCGGTGCATTCCTCGTCACATTCTGTTTGTAACCATAAGACAAAACACGCAGCTCATTCTTCAATGGTAACAGCAGACCAAATGAAGATTCGACGAGAGAACAAGGCAGCCAAGACGCTAGGCATTATTATGGGTGCATTTCTTCTCTGCTGGCTTCCATTCTTTCTCTGGTACACAATTACTAATTTGTGCGGCGGAAATAAACAGTGTAAATATCCCGAGATAATAGGGAACATTATGTTTTGGATCGGATACTTCAATTCTACTCTGAATCCGATGATCTACGCATTTTACAATCGAACGTTTCGAAATGCATTTAAAAGAATTCTGACGTGCAATCGTCGAAATAATTCCAGATCGATGGTTGTCGATATGACAAAAGGTCGTCGAACAAATCCACCTGGCACGAACACTAATGGAATGGATATCAGTCAGCACAGTTATCGTCCGTGAACGGACGGCCAGAACCCAATTTATCAGTTTGTACATATGTGATTGTTTTCATATATGCCGGGTGCAATTGCTCTCATAAACTCGTCGTTTGAGTCTGCACTCAGTTGGTTTAGGAGGAAAGGGATGATTCGGGTTTTGAGTCCCAAATCTGTCCTAAATTTGATTTATGATGTTCCAAAAGAATCAAAGTCACTCATCGTCACAGCTCTTAACAACCGTAATGCGATGACTATGGGTCAGTATTCTATTCGGTGGTCATGATCGTGTGTTTAATAAAACTGCTGCTTGAAATATTTCAGGAAACAGTGATGTGTGGCCAAAAGTGTTGCACAGGACCACTGACGTCCTATTGCAAAATTCTACTGATTTACGCATTATGGAATGGTTTGTTTGTACTTCCTAGGATATTTTACAAGTTTCAGAGTTTGCAATGTCTGTCTTCCGATTAACCACGGAAAACCAGAGGCATTAGAGATATGGAAAAAGACAAAACCGATGAGTCCTGGTCAAGTATTTGATCAAGGACAAACTAAATGAAAGAGACTCTTAATAGCCCTTACAAACACGTTTGAAGCTGTATTGTCGCTTCCGCTGTATCTTATTTGGCCCAATCGATGACTATGGCAATAAGAAAATCAATGAAATGCACCAAAACGTAACGTGACCTCTATTCTCGAAGCACTATTTAATCAAAGAGAGTTGGTTGAACTCTCATCGTCATTTGTATCAGGAGAAACCTGCTCATCGCATTTCGGTGAGCAGAATAAACAGGGGCTTTGAAAAGTGGGCTAAACCACACTATGCGAAACTGGAGTCAAGTTGTGTATGTCCGTGTAGGATTCATCAAACACAAATATATTTCTTCTAAATTTTAGGACCAGTATCGAATCAAATTGTTGAGTAAAGTGCACCGCTTACATATTTTAGCGTGGCATATTGAAAACTGTTTGTGCAATGCCAATTCAGTGTGTTATTCGATAGAACGTATGTTACACAAGAAGCAGAAAACCGTACCTCTACTTGTCCGTCCAAACAATGCACCCAATGACATGAAGAACAACGGTGACCAAAAAATACTTTGTTATGTGGGTATACAACTTTCTGGACCTTTGCTAGGGGAAATCAGAATTTACCGGTCCGAAGAATTTAACTGGGCAGCGGTTTGTCAAACCCCATGGAGCGTGAGCATTTTTTCGTCATCCGTAGAATCCTATCCCAAACAAACGACCTCATGATCTTGATCAATAAATGAGAGAATACGCGCGTTACTAGAAGTGCGTTGATGTTGGATCGATGACCAGAAAATCCAAACGCGATTCCATTAGCCTAGACCTTCATTTTAATTTACGAAACCGCAACCGGACATTGGGTTCATATTGCCATGGGAACCCGATTAAAGGCAAATGTTAGCTAGTACACAAAGCGCAGCCATACATAGTTGAATCAAATTCTGTATTCAACTAGCTTTTGCCGGTTTTACACACCCTAGTCAGCTACAGCTCATTAGATGAAGGTAGGAGGCGCAGGAAAGTGCATGGTTAATCGTTGTAAAAGCTGAACTGAACTGAGCCTACTGGAGGTAGACTTCACTGCGGACATTTTAGTATGAACATTCAGATTCGGTTAGCAATACTGCCCCTTAGATATCACCAACGGGTGCATCACGACTATAGTCAAGGGATTATTTATTTGGCAATTGCTATTTCGAGGTATCTAAATGATGTAGACCTTCGATAACTGTTTTATGTGCGTACTGAAATTGGCAAACATGCTGGCTGACCGGACTGCACTGAACACTAACCAGCCCGTCCACTTAATGTTTTCATTTCTTGCCAAATGACGCCGTTACATTCCTAGACGAAGTGAATAGCAGATTCGATTACGTGTCTGGAAATGTTTTACTGTGGAGGAAAAAACATGCCAACTCTCAAGAAAACAAAGCCAAAGTTAAAGCCTTCCATTGTTAACAATGATTATTATTTATTATCTCGATAACTGCCTTATAAACTTAATCGAAAATAGCACTCAGACATAGGGTTGAGCTGATGGATTCCGATGAATTCTAAGAAAAACCAAACCTGCATTTAGATTACCCTATATTTGGTGAATTTCAAAAATCGCTGTAGATTGGGTGGGTGAAACCGCTGCGAAAATATCAGTGATCGAGTTTTGGTTTCGTATCTCATTTGGTAGTGCATACTCGGTACAAAAGAGTCAACGAATTTCAAAATTCTTCGGTTTCATGAATTACTATTCAAATATTAAACCCGGCTTTGTATAGCCTACTAAAGTTCCTCCGGTTTTTGTCCATACCATATTGTGTATTGTTACCCTTATTCGCGTTTTCCATTTGAGTAATCCTGTTTGCTTCAGGTTGGATATCAGATCACAGTGTACATGTTAGTAGCATTCGCAATGGTTAATTACGAATTGCCCAACATGCATAAAACGTAAATGATTTCGACCGATGTACTTCAACAGCACCAGACGTTTACCGTACCTAGTGACAACAAGGGAAAATAATAAAGATGCGGAAATTAATCTTCTCCTTCTAGCTTTATTCAGTATGATGCTGATTTTGAGCTTTACAGGCTTTAGTTTTCCGTTGCATCTATGAACATCAGTTCCGATTGACAGATGAGAAAACTTGGCTCGGCGCATCAATGGCTAATTTAATAGGTAAATAGCTATTCAGCGCATTCAAAAGAAATGCGGTGGATATGAGGCTAATTTTACTCTGAGGCGCATATTTGCCAAGCGAATCATCATGGATCAGAAATACACTACGAATCAGGGTCATTGATGCGTGACGATCACACACCACTTGATATCCCAATGAGCGATTTGGCCTGATGTCAAATATGTGGGACTGGCTAATTTTCCAATCGCATCCGCACATGCGACTAGTTTTGTGATAAATCTGATGTGGAATAGGCATCCAATAAGTGGTTTAAAACTCGTGGGAACCAAAAGTTTCAAATTGCTTTATTAGTCAATGATTTTGTTCAGATATAATGAGCAATGCCTTAACAGTCATTAATGGTTCTTTCAAGGGTTTCCCTGTGTTACCAAGTAGTGTGTGTGAGTGAAGTTAACTCGATGGACCGGACAGTTCACTGGGGACTGTCAGTTCAAGATCGGTTATTCGACTGGAAGGGGGTTGGTCGCTTGACATAATTTGGTGTCGCTGACGTACGGCGGAATACGGCCTTGAGCCTTAATGAGGACGTCTAGCGTGGATTGGGAACTGACGGTAGGTCAGTCGGCTGGGGCCTTTTGCAGCTCGCCACCAAGTGTTTTTTATTAACAAAGCCATATACTGGTTAGCTTTGTGCTACCTTCTACGTTATTTATCTCGATGGGACCAGTGTGGGAAACGTCATAAGGTTATCTGCATATCTGTAATATTATTCCAACAGTTTAGAAATCAATTGCAGCAAACTCTTCTTTATCAGGTGGATCATTGGAATACGTGAGGTTAGTGTGGTAGTAGATCTGAAATATTTAAGGAAAGCGTAAGTGCTCCCAGGTAAAAGGAACTCGAAATCGAGATCCAGATGGAGAATGTCATGGTCATCTTTTATATTAGGAGTAATATATCCACAAGTTTTTATCCTGTGGTCTAACAAACCTAAACGTACAATCACAGTAATTTCGCCTTGGAGATACAACTACTGAGAATTTTGGGTGAAGTCCTTCTCTGATCAACATCCAGTCCAGTATATCAGTCTCGTGTGTCATTCCAGGTGGTTCATCGGAGTGTCTAACACAATTCAACTGAAGCTGCATAGAAATGGGAAAACTATCGAAAATTCTTATGCCATGTGCTGCAAGCACTTCTGGTCGTGTGCAGCTTTTATCCATTCTGCAGCTGTTCTTATCCTTCCATTTTGTTTCGTATTCCTGAACTACTTCATTTCATCTCGTTATATATGTTGAATCCATTCTGCCACAAACGGACCCATCGATCACTCACTGTGAGCATCCTTTACATCTATGCACTCGGCACCATTGTCCTATTTTGATTACCGTACTCGCATGTTGTCGATTTCAGGTCCACGACTGTTTCCACACCGTTTGCATGTACACACACCATCGGTACTTTGGCTTCAATCAGTCATTCTTCTTTGTCATTCTTTCTTGTTTCATCCATCTGTACACATGATTGACTGACTCTGACATCTGTCTACACCGACCGGCAAACATCTGCACAGAACCATGCAGGTATACAGCACCGTAGCTTCATATCGTTCCCAAATGACTGACGATCATACCCAACACATTTCAATTGGCTCCCCTCAGTTCATTCCACACCGTTGATTGTCGCAGATTCACGTGATCCTGTTTGAAATCGCGTGGCTAATTTGCTCCATTGTTACTGAGCTGTGCGCCTGCTTGCCAGCAGCCCTTTCTGGTTGAACTACTGACTTCATAAAACGTGGTGTTTAAGCAACTGGATAGTGCTAAATTTTGAAATTCACAGATTTACTGTATTGTAATCTTTTCCGCGTGTCACAAGCACGGCGTAGGAAGCCTTTTGTGGCTCGAGATTAAACTAATTCTGCTCTCATGGTTTTCTGCTACTTCAAATGTATTGAAATGCAATGGGGCAGGTTTGAAGATTCTCCAGCTGGGTCTTCCTTTCAGATATCACCATTCATGAACTCATGAATTGTAAAAACGTCGGACTCGTCAGAATCGTGATACAGCTCTCGCGTCCTCCATTTATTTAACCGTTTTATAAACTTTTCACGTTGGTTTACTTCATGTTTTTAAGAAAAACAATCGACGTTTGTACTTCCTCGGTAACCATCCGTTCCTAACTTTCTCAACAAAGATTCTAAATCCGCTCAGGCAGAAGCGGCAGCTAGATTAAATCTGTTTCTTCAAGCAGAAAACTCCGCTGGGGTCACAGATTCACCTCATCTGAAGGGAAAAAATCTTTTTCCAGATGTTTCTTTCTGATTTCATATGTATGTATTGGGTTCATCAAAAAAGTG